ACTCTTTTTGTTATTCACATATCGCCAAAATGACCTTGAATCCTGGCTGATGTCTTGCTGAACTTCAATCAAATAATCTTTGTGTGCTTTCTTTATGTCGTTTTTTATCTTGCTTCTTAATTGAATAAATTGATTATATGTTTCTATTTTTTGTCCTCTTAATCTTAGTTCTCAACTTCTCTTTACTCTTTATATCTTTAATAATATGTTTTGTAAAGTATACAGGATATATCTTTGAGCAATTTTTTCTTTTTGGAACACAAATGTCAAAAATATTATATATTTTATCATAGAAATGCTTAACAGCCATATTGACATCATCAAGAGATTCCAGGTCATTCCAGGAAGCATTGTGAAACAATTGGTACATAGCGTCGAAATCAGCTTTCCTGAAGTTGTAATTTTGGGAGTGACTATTCCCATTCCCTGTCAAATTTCTTTGTCTAGGGGTTTTAAACTCAATTTCTATCATAAGTGGAGGATGGTGTGTATCAATGTCAACAAAACTGAAAGTACTTTCATATACCCTACATTTACTATTAGTAACAACAACATCAAGTAAGCGGTTATTACCATTTAGTACCCGATTCATCTGGTGGCAATCAAAAAATTGGAGAAAATTCAGGAACATATTTATCTGTTGATCCCTGAAGTTACCCAAATAATAATCGTTCAAGTGACTAATATTAAGATCTCCCACCAATATGATTTTTATTTGGTAAATACATTCTTGATTTTCAATATATGAGAATAGATGCTCTCTCTCTAATAGACCACAACTAGTTGAAATATAAACCACCAATATATAAATGAAGTTAACATCATCTACAAAGACTTTTGCCCCTAACAAATCTATGCATGGCACATCAAAATCTAAATTCAATTTACAAGTTTTGTAGGTTTTTTTGACTGCCAGTAAGACACCACCACCACGCATATTATCTTCCCTGTTTCGACATTTAAAAATGGTAAAGGACCCTGGGAACAATTCACTATCATACACACTGTTAGTCAACCATGTTTCGCTTAGAGCAATTGCATCATATTCATTTTCAGTTAATATCACTGAATGAAAAAAGTCCACTGTTTTACTATTAAGTCCACGCACATTTTGATACACAACAGTGAAAGCTATTTCTTCTTCGGTAGAAACCTTATCATCATTAACTGCGCTCAGTTGCCCATTATCGTTCACCTCTCTGCTAAAAAATTTTCTGGGGTCAAGTAATTTGTTTGTTGCTGAAGTCTTCTGATTCTTTGCATATATACAGGACACGACGAATTTCGGCGGAATGATTGCCTTGGGGTAAGTTTGACCTCTTACAATTAGGACAATTAAGAGCATCTGCAGAACACTGACTACTATTATGGACACCACCACATTTATGACAACAATCATCGGCCGAGCAGTGTTTGGCAACATGGCCAAATAAACAACACTTAAAACAGATTGCTACATTTGTATACTCCTGGACATATGCAGGGCAGAAGTCGAATATCAGGTTATTATTTCTAATGAGCCACTTAAATAAAGCCGGAGGAGTCTGAAATATCCAATTTTCTTTTGCGCTGTTTCTGCAGTCTTTTTTTGTCACATATTTGAACTGGTTCTATACATTTTCACAAAGGTGTCTAGAATATCAGGATTATCAGCAACAAATTCATTAATGAATGTTCCTGGTGAATGTCCTTTAAAAACTCCAGTTATCTTTATCATTGGATCTAAATTAAAAATATTTTTAACCGACACATTTTTGTTAGCATTTTCAAGGGTTTCTTTCAACTTTTTCTGTTGAGACGCATCTTGACATTCTATTATGACACTTCCACTCTGTAAAGGTTTGATTCTTTTAAAATGTCCATCAACATTATTTGCTTTAAGATTTTTTTTAATCTCACGCATAACGATTCTAGAATCATTATTTTCTTTAAGCCTAACAATTGTTTCATGCTTCAGGTTTCGCTGCGGAGGAGACTTCCATTCAGTTACTTTTGCGCTTGATGTGGGATTGTTTCCCGCAGGTGCACTTCTGACTACATCGCTATATGATGTTTGAGACAGTTGGGGTCGAGGTTGGGGTGAATGAAAATTGCTATTCCGGAAAGCGTTTTTGTCAGATGTTAATTCTGTGATTTTATTTTTGAGTTCTTGTTCTACTACCTCATGTTCATCATTGTTAGCCTCATTTTGCTGCTCACTGTATGTTTCAATATTCTGGGGTGGTGTGCGTGAAAAACAATTTTTTGGTTTAAAGATCGAGTCATCATCTTCCAAATTAGAGTCAAGCATGCTAAAACTCTCCTTAGACGCACCAACATTTTTATCATGCTGCAGCTTAGAATTTCGGCTACTGTTATCATTTATATTTATACCATTGTTATCTTGGGACTTTTTTTGCTTGGGATTAATAAAATCTGCTTCTGGTTGTTTGGGGTTTTTTATATTGACTCCAATAATTTTATTTATATCGGCATGGCTGAAATTAATGCTATCTATTCTAGAAATACCTGGCTCATTATCTGGTTTAGTATACTCTTCTCCAGTATTTTTCCTCGTGGATTCCTCCCTACCATCACTATTTAATTCCATGGTAAAATACCAAGTAATTAATTCGGATCAACACAGCTAGAAATCGCAAAAATACAGAGCAAAGTTTTAAACACGTCCAGTCGCTACGCGCGCTGACTGATTATTATATATATTCACTATTATTGGCTTTGACAAGTCCAAACGAGGCTCCAAATCCTAATGAAGATTCTTCTGATTCTGAAGTAGAAAGTTTTGAATGTTCTGATGAGTCTTCAGAATCTGATATCTAATGTTACTGTCACTTATGCAGCTTATGCTATGCTTATGATTTCGTTTTTGTTCTGTCCTCATCTTTCTGTGCGAAATATTTAAGAAAAAATTAAATTCGATTTTTTCCATATTTTGTTTTTTTTCAACACTCTCTGAAAAAAACAGGAAAAGAACCGTTTTTTTTTTGGAAAAAAACAGGTTTTTTTCCGAGCTGTTAAAACACTAAACACGCGGATAGCGTGTATAGAAAAAAGGAATAAATCAGATTGAAATTTGATCATTTAAAAAAAACGGGATTTTAGGGATCCCGATTTTTGTATCCCGGGATTTTTGTATCCCAGAGCCTCATCATTGGGATCTTGGTAACCGTAAGAGATACGAGGTCGGTTAAATTATGGCAAAGTTGCGCAATTTTATGACCAATAGAATGCTGTTTTGAAATTAGAAAGATTCCGAATACTTCCAGAGATATTCAGAAAAAACCGAAATTTTGTAAAATCATTTTCATTTTTTCCCGGGCTTATTTGAAAAGCAAGTTTAAAATAAATGTCACTTCATCATTGTCACTTTTTCCCCTTTAGAAGATGGTGCAACTAAATTTAAAATTCGACGTTTCGTCTCCAGGCGGCCATCCTCAACTTACCTTTTTTAAATACGGACCTAGATTTTTTATTTGTGATTTTGTTATCTTTGGGTATCCTTAAACCGATATTGTTTATAATTTTCAATAACACGGTAAAAAAAGCAGGTCCATTTTAAAAATAAATAAATTGATGATGATTCCAGAGGAACGAAACGTTGGATTTCAAATTTAATACCGCCATCTTGTAGAGAAGAGAAAGTGACAACGGGAATGTGAAATTAGTTTTTTAAAATCTTTTTAAATGGAATCAGGAAAAAATTTAAGAAAAACGAGAAATTTGTGTTTTTTTGTATAGTTTTCATTTCAAATTTCAAAATTCAAATCAAATCAAATATATTACGGAATTATTTTGAATTTACATTGTTTTACAAAGAGTCCTTATTGTCTTACAATTTGTAATTTAAGCACCTAGGCGATTAGACCCCCTGTATGTGCTATAATCATCAATTTGTTTAAAAGTCCTATATTAGGTAAAGTTTTATCTTAAAGAAATATATGCAGTGTAATGCAGATAAGAATAATTTCAATAACAATAAAGTTCTCCCTAATTTTTTATTTTAAAAGATTAACAAACTCCTCCTTTTTGTTAAATATAAAACATCTACAGTTTTTAATAAATTTTTTCAGACTTTGTGTATTTCTCAATTCTGAAGGTAGTAAGTTAAAAAATCCAAGTCCGTATTTAAAAAAAGGAAGTTGAGGATGGCCGCCTGAAGACGAAACGTCGAATTTTAAATTTAGTAGCACTATTTTCTAAAAGGGAAAAAGTGAACGATGAAGTGACATTTATTCTAGAATTGCTCTTCAAATAAGCCCAGGAAAAAATAAAAACGATTTTACAAAATTTCGGTTTTTTCCGAATATCTCCGGAAGTATTCGGAATCTTTCTAGTTTCAAAACGGCACTCTTAGACCCTGAGATAGGGCCTGTTTAGTGGAGTCATTTTTTTTTGTCTGGCATTTTGAGGGATGAATGTGGCTGGTTAGCTGATGAGAATATAGGTGGTTTTAATGCCTGCCACCTGTTCGAAATGTCCACAGAATGTTTCGCCGGAAAACTCGACTTCGAACTGAGATTACCGTCTGGCGATTTTTCAGCGATATTTTCACAACAAAATCTTCCATTCTCTCGATTACCAGACAAAAAGTAAACACAGAAGGTTCTTTTCTTTCCTCTTGGAAGTTGACATTCATCCCCACTTTTATTTAGAAGCCAAAAAATTTGAGGTCATTAAAAAAAAAATCCTCATGTAAATCCATTTTTTTCTTCTGCAAATTTTCGAACGGGAGGCAGGCATTAAAATCACCCATATTCTCATCAGCTTAGTAGCCACATTCATCCCTCAAAATTCCAGACAAAAAAAAATGACTCCACTAAACAGCCCCTATCTCACAGTGTATCTATTGGTCATAAAATTGCGCAACTTTGCCATAATTTAACCGACCCCATAACTCTTACGGTTACCGAGATCCCAATGATGAGGCTCGAATTTGGGCCACCTGTACACTGCATTGTATGTTTCCAATATGTATGTATAACCAAAAATTTCCATTTCAGGATGGTTTCAGTTGTCTAATCCAAGGAATAAAACATGCCAACGCATTGCCTTCTGGTAGAGATTGGGACTTCTACAATAACTTTGAATCGTTTAAACAAGCACTTAATGACGAATCCGAAGTCATAATGGATGGAATGACTTCACTTTTGAAGAAACAAGATGTCGGTTGTAACATTCGTCATCACACATCTAATTACCAGAAGAATATATTATTACAAGCAAATGATATTATTTTGGGAAGAGTTGCAATCAATATTGATGTGCTCAATGGCATTCGCAGCGCTGTCAACGAACCTGTGATTTTACAGAGTGTTAGTGCCGAACTACCACTTAACATTAACGGGTCATGGAATAGGAGTATTGGCACAAAAGTTTCTATGACAACATCTGTTGGTACTGTGCCTGTGGTAAGTTTTTATGCACCTATACCCTACACAGCTTAGTTGTGCATTTAGTTTTGTTTACTTTGCATGATATTTGGAATAAAATGACAATTATCCACAGCTTAGTACCCCTCAAGCAAGAGGCAATATAATTCGACTCTTGACTGCTGAAAATATTGTAAGACCGCAAAAAATGTTCAAAGACAAAATAGATAATCGCAATGATTATGCATGGGAACCAAGAATAAAAGACAAACCTAATTCGCTCAAACCGTTGGCCATATTTTTGGAACAGACCGAAAAAGGAAACCAGTAAGTACTGAAATAAAATTACGCGTTTTCCAGGTAAATACATTGTTTTTTCTTAGGTTCTGTCACCCCTATGAATACGAGCTAGATAGGTTTACACCTTCAGATAATTTTTTAAATAAAACCAAAATAATAAAACCCAAACTTTTAAAAGACACTCCCTTAATTGAAATTTCTACACCAGAAAAATTACCGGGATTGGTGGAAGATTTGATGAAGTTCAAAACAATTGCAGTGGATTTGGAACATCATTCATATAGGTCTTTTATGGGTATTACCTGTCTCATGCAGATTTCTACGCCTGAAACTGATTATCTTATAGATACATTGGCTTTGAGAAATGATTTATGGATTTTGAACGAAGTTTTTACCAAACCAGATATTACAAAAGTAAGTACTTTTTAATGCTAATGATACAATATAAATTTTGACAAGACAAAATTACTCAGTTATTTTTTAAGTTCAAAAAAAAAAACATGATTATGGTTATCTTGTTCTCCTGTGAAATATATTTGGTGAATTGTTTTCTGAAAGATACATTCAGCATTAACAGCAAATGATCTGTGATATCATTATCTATATCTAATAAATAGAAAGTACAAGTAAGGGTATTGAACCTTGTTATTAAACACTATTGGATTCAAGTTTTTTCAAAAATATATATCATCCAGGCAGGATCCTGTAAGATTCCTAGTATTTTGTAAATGTATGGTTTGAGAGATAAGTTCTCAATACTCTAGTTATCACTATAAGCGTGGTTTATCATTGTGTTCGAATAGTCCATGAACCCCTAATAAGTAATATTAGGCAGCCATTTTAACATGTTTTTTTTTTTCAGGTATTCCATGGAGCAGAATCAGATATTCTTTGGTTACAAAGGGATTTATCGCTTTACATTGTTAATATGTTCGATACATATTTTGCCTCTAAACTTCTAGACTACTCTGGACTGTCTTTGGCTTACTTGATGCAAAGGTTTTGCAAGTTTGTACCAAATAAGAAGTTCCAATTGGCTGACTGGAGGATTCGTCCCTTACCAGACGAATTGAAGACCTACGCTAGAGAAGATACACATTATCTTATATACATTTATCAGAATATGAGGAATGAGCTGATTGACAGGGCGAATGGAAAGACCAATTTGCTAAAGTCCGTTATCGATTCCAGTAAAGCGCTATGTCTAAAGGTAGGTGATTATTTTCAAAGTATTGTGTTTCTTGTTTAATTTCACTAGTTTTATTCTGTAATTTCTGGTTGATTTGCGGCAGTAAATCGAAAGTTAATTTCACTACAGTTGAACAGTTTTTGGAATAAACATTGCTTTATGATAGAAAATTAAACGAAGAAGTTCTCTCCACTGTTTCGATCAGTCTGTAGCTCGGTCTGTAGTCAATGCCTCTCCAGCTCTCTTCCTTCCATACATGAATGGTTGGCATTAAATCCTTCCAAATCAAAAAAGCGTGTTTCTTCCCTTGACAACCATGTTTCAGCTAAGATAAGGACATCACAGTCATGGACTTTTAATAAACAACCAAGCTCATCGAATTTATTTCTCATACTTTGCATGCTTAGATAATTATTACAGAGCATTGGCCCTTTAGTCATGTTCCTTTCTAAATTTTCCCAGCAACGCGTGGCCGGGTCAGCTAGTCAAAATAAACTTAAAAAACATTTATGCACTTTAGCGATCAAAAGTACCCTTCAAATCCCTGTTTTTAGGGAGTGAAGTGGGTCTTTTATTTCCCGGGATTGAATTTCACTTTATTTCTCAGGGATTAAATTTTTACTTTATTTCCCGGGGATTAAATGAAACAGGGGATAAAAGTACCCTTTTATTCCCCGTTTTATTTAAACCCAAATGCACCGTAAGGACCTTATCCAAATTAGTTACTTAAACCAGATTAGAACTTCTTTTTTATATGCAAATTTTCAAACTAAGCGAGATTAAACTCCCAATTCCATACGGTGCATACGGCAGTGGCGGCTCGTGGTGTCCAAGTAATGGTGGGCGACAAAAATAAAAAACAGCTATGGGCAATTTTTTTTTAGATTTTCAAGGTCGCGGCCTTTTCAAATATTGTATTAAAGCAAAGATAATCCTACTCCGAAGTAGGATTATCTTTGATTAAAGTTATTTTTTATTTTTTCATTTTCTCTCCAGGGTGGCGGTGCCCACTTTGCCCTTATGGGCGAACCGCCACTGGCATACGGGTGTTAATCTCCGGGAAATAAAATAAAGTACCTACATAAAATAGTGTATAGACTTTTTGTCTCGGGATTAAAAGTACCACTTTAGTCCCTAGGTGTATAATGTACTATTATATTTTACAAACAATAAAGTAGAGTCTATTATTCGGTCTATTATAAAATCTGGTGCCAAGTAACAACGTCTTGCTCGGACTGGTAATATTGATTCAGGGTTTTGGAGAGAATGATTGCATGATCATTGTGGGTGGTTCAAACGATTTTTTAAACAATAAACGTCAAAAATTTTATTAAATACAAAGTATAATAAATCGCTGTTTACATACTAAAGGACCACGCAATATTTAAATGGAAATTGGTTACCCGTGATATTTGGATGAAATTTAAATATGTTATTGGGGATGCCGTAAGCAACATTTTTTTACCATGGGCACAACCCTGTATATATGACAGGTGAGGCGTGGTTAGCTGTTAAATATTGGAATCTTATATCCGAAAGCAGAGTAACTATGGCAGATTTTGATGAACAAAAAATCAATTTCTACTAAGTCGACCAAGTTAAGTCGAAAAATGTCAACCATTTTAACGACTTAGATTTTTAGATTTTTGGTTTCACCCTTTCGAGCCCATACTCTACACTGCAGCCTTTATAGGGTTTTTGTATGTCATTCGTATGGGCTCTACTCCTTCTCATTCATACTTCTCATTCATACTTGGAGATCAGATGATTGGCGGCAGCGCGGTCGACCCACCGTCCCGTACTACTGCGGTCACCCATCCAATCTCCAACCCGACACCGCGTTGCTTGGCTTGAGTAGGCCGTCTCTCACGTCCTTGATCAAGAACCAACGTGCCGGATACTTGGTCGACTTAGTAGAAATAGATTTTTTGTTCATCAAAATCTGCCATAGTTACTCTGCGTTTGGATATCAGATTCCAATATTTGACAGCTAACCACGCCTCATCTGCTCGCTCACCTGTCATATATACAGGGTTGTGCCCAGGGTAAAAAATGTTGCTTACGGCATCCCCAATAAAATATTTAAATTTCATCCAAATATCACAGGTAACCAATTTCCATTTAAATATTGCGGGGTCCTTTCATAATTTTGGCCTGTCCCATAACTCATAGAACCGTAAACACCGACTACCTATGTAAGTCATTTTAACAACAACTTATGTAAAATTATTAACACTCTTGACAAGTATTCCAACAACTTTTTTGGTTTCATAAATATTGATTTTGATAAGGGCTGTAAGGTGCGGAACTGGATGATTAGCGCAATGATTGCTAAAACGATTCAGGTAAACAATTGACATAAGATTAACTCCAAAAACGTAACACAAAATACAAAGTCAAACATACAGAAAATAAAATCTCCAACACATGGTTCCCTACCTTACAGATCTCCTCAGGCACTACACCATTTCAACCTCAATTTCGGAAAAATTAACTTTTATTTAGGAAAATGTAAAGTCATTTTCGGGAAAAGTCAAATTAATTTCAGAAAAAGTAAAGTTAATTTCGGAAAAAGTAAAGTTAATTTCGGAGAAAGTAAATTCAAATTCGGGAAAAATACATTCAATTACGGAGAAAGTAATGTTATTTTTTATAGAATAATTTGAATTGATTTATTTATCCATGTAGAAAATCAAAAAATGTCTCCATAAATCTCAGAGACCTAATTTTCAAACAATAAAAGAAAGAAAAAAAATTACCAAGTCTTCAGATGGTTTATTATGAGTGTGAGTGTTGAGTGTGGTGTGCTTCAGGGCTCTGTGCTGGGGCCTATCCTTTTTTTGCTGTATATCAATAATATAAGGGTGGGAGCCAGCAATGAGCTGCTTTTGTTGCTATTCGCCGATGCTATATACGTTACAACTACAGACAACCACTTCATACTCTTGCAGCAAAAGATGGTCGCAACACAGGAAAACTTAAATGTCTGGATAATTCGAAATAAATTAAAACTGAATGAACAAAAAACGAAAACCTTTTTTTTACCTTTAAGAATATGAACGATGGGATTGAAAATGAGAGTGTTAAATTTTTGGGATTCCGGTTGGATCAAAAATTGACATGGGAATGGGAGTCACATAGGTATATGTATCAAAAAGCTAACCACGAGCATCTACATTATTAGATTGTTGAGTAAAATTGCACCCGAAAACACTGTTTTAATGGCTTACCACTCTATATTCTTGTCTCACTGTTTGTATGGACTTCTATACAGCTTAATACCAGAAACACACAATCACCAAATAAGAACTGCTTGGAGCATCAGGTTACCCTTTACCAGGTTGGAGCACTCTAGGAAACTGTGCTCTAGGTATAGCAAAAACTACTATGCCCCAATGTTTTATCATAAATTTCCAAGACAATAAGAGCCCTGAAATTGAGTGAGTTTAAAACTAGAATTAATTTTTGTGTCAAAACGCTTTTCATGATTTAGAAACGTTTTCAATTAAAAATAACAGTGTTTCAGATTTTTGAGTATGTCTTGCTTAGGTTGTACATTTATGTTTTTTTCTCCGAATGACAGTAAACCCGACCTTTTAATGATACTTGACAAGCTCAAAAGGTGTATTTTTAATGCCTAGGCAGTAAAAGTGGACTTTTACTGCCTAGGCATTAAAAGTTCGTTTCTATGCAACGTTCCAGGTAATAATTTTAGTCAATCTGTTTTTTTCGAAATTGACAATGACAATGACAATATAACATTTTTGTAAAAAAAATAGTATATTGTTGTATTAGGAGTAGAAGCTTTACTTTTTTGTGCTGAAGCAGTAGGTTTGCGAGTCGAACGTAGTGGGGCTTGCAATACTGCTGAAGCACAAAAAACTGCTTCTACTCCGTATGCAACACGCTATTTTTTCTCCAAACGAATGTGGTAAGCTCGGGGGTAACTGGATGGTTGAGCGGCAGTAAAAGTACAAGCGGCACTAAAAGTACTTTTACTGCCGCTCCAGCGGCACCAAAAGTACTTTTGCTGCCGCTGGGGTTGCCAAGCATCATAGAAATTAAATTTCTACCACCTCGACAGGTGTTAACCTCCTGGATTTGCCTAGCAACATCGAAATTGAATTTCTACCATCTTGACAGGTGTTGACAAAGTGATGTTTTTTTGACGTTTGGAGAGAAAAAAAAATATTTGGATATTAAAAATCAAATCAATATAAAAAAGATGACTATAAGTGAAATTAGAAAAAATTCAAATTAAATGTTTCACACGTAGTGATGAGCAAATGCAAGACCAAGACCAAGACCGGAATAGTCTTGGTCTTGGTCTTGCATATGCGGTCTTGGTCTTGGTCTTGCAGTCTAATAAGTGGTCTTGGTCTTGGTCTTGCAGGGTCCAGTCTTGGTCTTGACCTTGGTCTTGCACCAAGACTCTTGCAAGTCTTGCATTTATTTGGTAGATTTTTACTGGAGGAAATTTTAACAAAGAAACTTTAAAAAAAATCGTTTTTCATGCCACTTGAAGTAAGTAAATGTTTAAAGAAAGAGAGAGTATATGCCAGTATCAAAATTTTGGCTTTTCAATATTGAGTAAGCTCTACCACAGCAGCAAATTTTAATTCGCGAGGGGGGGGGGGCAACCCGATGCCCCCCATGGGTGCGCCACTGATATTTACAATTAATTGCGGGCGGGACTAACACAAGAACCATTTTATTTAAACGAGCATTTCATTGATTTTTTATGTCTATCTATAATTGAGTTGAAATGTAAGTATTTATCTATTTTCTTGATAATCTCATGCAGCTATTCTTTTATTAGTATATCTATGTCACTGGGGGCCCGTTACCTTAACGGGGATTATAAATAAACCAAAATTATGATTACTCAATGCAATAAAGAAAGTGTACAGGGTGATCTATTATAAATGTAACCCCCTGCTAACTTTTTCATTTGACGTTTTTGACTGAAGTGTCAAATACAAAAGTTTCAAGAAATTGCCAAAAGTTTTTAACCAAGTCAG